CAAGAGAACAAGATATGGAGATATATGAGAAAAGAAAGGGGTACGAGCAACTAGACGAGCAGCAGGATTAAAAGCTTTACTTAAAGGATAGAGTATAGAATTAGGAAGACCATAGTAGAGTGAGTTACAATAATCAATCCTAGATAAGACTAACGAAGTAACAAGAAGGAAAAGAGTAGGATCATCAAGAAAAGGCAAAAGTTTTTTATTTTACGTAGATGAAAATAAGAGCTTCTAGCAACACTATTAATCTGAGAAGAAAAAGACATGGTAGAAACAAAGATAAAACCTAGACTACGAAACTTGTGAGAGACATCAAGAGTTTTAGAATCAGGTAAGATAATAGGAGGAATAGTAATAGAGTGTTTAGATTTATTAAAACAAATTAATTCAAACTTAGAAGGATTAAGTTCAAGACACATAGAGTCAGACCAAGCGATAATTGAAGAAAGACATAGAGATAGATTATGAAGAACACTATTTAGATTAGATGGAGGAAAAGAAGTATAATTGTAAGAATCATCAGCATATAGTTGACTAGAGAAAAAAAAGTTTTTAATAATACGAGGTAGTTCAGAGGTACAGAGTATAAATAGAAGAGGGCTAAGGATAGAACCCTGATGTACCCCGAAACTAAGAGTAGAAGAGTTAGAAGTAGAATTATTGAGAACAACAGAAGAAAACCGATTACAGAAATAAGAAAAAAACCAAGATAGACAAGAATCAGTAATATTAAAAGAAAGAAGTAGCAGTCTCAAGAGAATAGCATGATCAACAGTATCAAAAGCCGAGGAAAAGTCAAGGGCAAGAAGAAGAGTAGGATTACTATTGTCACTAGAGAGAAGGATACCATTGTGTATTTTGAGTAAAGAAGTTTCAGTACTGTGAGCAGGCCTGAAACCAGATTGAGATACAGGTACAGGTAGCAAGGAGTAAGAGTTTAAATAAGATGACAATTGATTAAAAATTACTTTTTTCTATTATTTTAGAGATGAAAGTAATATTAGTAACAGGTCTATAATTAGATAAAGAGATAGGATCTAAGGATAAGTTTTTAAGAATAGGAATAACAATAGAATTCTTATAAAAAGTAAATAATTTGGAGGTGGAAAGAGATAAATTAAATAATTTGAGAATGATTAGATAAAATATTAAAAAAAATTCTTTAAGTAAATTAGAAGGAAGTAGATCTAGAGAACAGGTTGTAGCTGACATAGAATTAATAATTAGATCTAGAGAACAGGTTGTAGCTGACATAGAATTAATAATTTTAGTAAGTTCTAGAAGATTTGTTGGAGTAAATACAGAAAAAGATTCAGTAGTAAGTTTAGTAAAGTTATGAGTAGAAAAATTAGAATTAGATGTTCTTAAAGTAGTAATTTTATTTACAAAAAAAGATTTCGAAAGCTTTTTGTTTAGTTTTTCGACTTTTCTAACGGTCACTGGAAGTGCCATGTATCGAACTGTTATTACGCGATGGCATGATTCGAATATTGTCGGTCCGAAACTCGAAGACTATCATACTCGTATGATGCGGTGCTTGCGCGTGCAAGCATAATGTATATGTGAGTCGTGTAGATAATGTACAGCTTTTTTGGCGCGAAACTTTAATTAGTATAGACAGACAAAA